GGCAGCTCCCCCACGCCCCTGAGAGCCCCGTGGCCGCCCTCAGCCCCCTGGAGAAACGGGCCATCAACCTCACCTGGGCCAAGCCCTTCGATGGCAACAGCCCCCTGCTCCGCTACGTCGTGGAGGTCTCCGAAAACAGTAAGGGGCTGCACCCCAGCACCCCCGGCCCTGGGCAAAACCCAGGCTCTGGCATCACTGGGGCAAGGGGTGCAGCTTGGGGCCCATGGGACTCATCAGCTGGGGAGGGGACCCCGGTGTGCTGCAGGTTGGGTCCTCCAATACGCCACACTCCACCCCGCTGCCCCCCACCTCTCCACCCGCTTCCACAGACGCGCCCTGGACCGTGCTGCTGGCCAGCGTGGACCCCGAGTCGACGTCGGTGGCAGTGAGGGGCTTGGTCCCCGCTCGCTCCTACCAGTTCCGCCTCTGCGCCGTGAACGACGTGGGCAGGGGACAGTTCAGCAAGGACACGGAGAGGTGAAATGTGGCCGGGGGGGCCCGAGGGGGGGCTGGCAGCACTGGGTACTCACCCCCGCCTCGTCCCCCCGCAGGGTGTCCCTGCCCGAGGAGCCCCCCTCCGCGCCCCCCCAGAACGTCATCGCCAGCGGCCGCACCAACCAGTCCATCATGATCCAGTGGCAGCCACCCCCCGAGAGCCACCAGAACGGGGTCCTCAAGGGCTACATCATCCGGTGGGCACTGGGTGTCCCTCCCCCGGAATCCTGGGGTGCTAAGTGGGGCCACCGGCAGCTCTGACGGCCGCTGGTCCGCAGGTACTGCCTGGCTGGGTTGCCCGTGGGCTACCAGTTCAAGAACATCACCAACGCTGACGTCAACAACCTGCTCCTGGAGGATCTCATCATCTGGACCAACTACGAGATCGAGGTGGCGGCGTACAACAGCGCCGGCCTGGGGGTGTACAGCATGAAGGTGACCGAGTGGACGCTGCAGGGAGGTAGGCAGGGACGGGCAGGGACGGGCAGGGGCTTGGTGTTCACCAGGCTGTGCCATGGGGGTGCTGGGGACAAGTAGCAGGAGTCCCGGGGGACTGGGATGTGCTGGGGACGGGGAGCCAGGGGCAACTTGGGGCATCCCCCTGGGTGCTCAGGGTCCTCCCCGCTACGGGTGCCTGGCTGATGGGAGGGACCTCGCGGAGCGGGAGCCGCTGTGACCTGTCCCTTCGTCCCCGCAGTCCCCACCGTGCCCCCGGGGAACGTTCAGGCCGAGGCCACCAACTCCACCACCATCCGCTTCACCTGGAACCCCCCCAGCCCCCAGTTCATCAACGGCATCAACCAGGGGTACAAGGTGAGGGGCGATTCCCGTGGGTGTCCCCAAAAACGGGACAGCCGGGGCGGGGGGAAACCCCTCAGCCAACCTTCACAAACTGGCTCGACTCCTCCGTGCCAAACCCCCAGATTTTAATTGGTTCCAGCCTGACGGTTAAGATAGTATTTACTGAGATTTAACACTTGCATGGGCTCGGAGTCTCCCATGCTCTGTAATTAATTCCAAATCACAATTAATTCAAATTTACATTAATTAAATTGAATGAAAACATTAAACTTGTTTCTTAATCCACTCAAAAGAAGTTCAGGAATTTAATTGCCGCTGAATGAGATAACCACAGCAAGTAGGATATTTAACGTTCTTATTAAATGCCACTTAGTATTTTTGATTAGTATTTTTAGGGCCTAATTAGTATTTAATTAAGTTGCTATAGGCTATCTTGCACAATAGCAATTAAATGCCCCAACATCCCTCCTAAATGCAGGCGAGCGGGTGATTACGCGCCGTTATCAATGGGAGTTAATCACAAGGCGCACGCTCCGTATCGGCTCGTGCGGGTAAACGCACTCCGTTAAAGGCATCGAGTGCTCCCTGCGCTGTTAATTGATATTTAATCAACTCTGAATAAATACGAGGAGGCCCGGAGGTGCCCGCAGGACGGTGGTTGTGGTACCGATGTGCCCGGTCTCGGCGTCCCAGCTCCTTCTTCCCGCAGCTCATCGCCTGGGAGCCGGAGCGCGAGGAAGAGGCGACGGTGGTGACGGTGCGGCCCAACTTCCAGGACAGCGTCCACGTGGGCTACGTGGCGGGGCTGCGGAAATTCGCCGAGTACTTCACCTCGGTGCTCTGCTTCACCACGCCGGGGGACGGCCCGCGCAGCCCCCCCCAGCTGGTGCGCACCCACGAGGACGGTACGGGGAGGCTCTGCGTGCCCGCGGGACGGACCCTGCCCACGCCGGGGAGGG